AAAGGACAGTTTGGCTCAGTCCACTGACTGTCCTTTATAGACAGGTTTGACTGTATTTTGTAAGTGGTCCCTGAACTTAGCTTTGGTGTTCAAAGGGTTAAAAAGTTGCTGAGTGACACAACTTTGCTGTCTGACATACTTTGGAAAATTCCGATGTTTATCCCAAAATTCGCACCTTTGCTGAACCAGATATATACCTTTCTGAGAAAACAGCTGCGTCGGTTTTGAATACGATCAAGAAATTCAGTTTTGCGTACCACTAAACAAGCACAAGATATGTAACTGGCTCCCCAAATAATTTCCAGATTTTTTTTTATACATACCTTTGGTATCAACAAAGCCTCCCATTTGGGGATGAGGAAAAACTTGAGCCCATCTGCCGAACCAGGTAGTGTGACTCCACGAATCAGTAGTATAGTGATGACAACATAGGGAAATGTCGCCGTGAAATAGACCACCTAAATATCAAAAAAAATATAATTTACATCATTAGCACATAATTATAAATTAAGATTAACAAATCAATTTCAAATCAATTGTTACAATCACTATCATTAATTCATATAGGTGGTCAGCGCCTATAGATAACTTTTCCAATATCCTCGTGTTATAGTTTTCATAAATAATTATTAATAGAATTAAAAGTTCTTTAAAATTCAGGTTCTATGAGAAATATGATATTCATTTTTAAATATGTATTTTTTGTACTGTTTTTAAACAATTTAATTCATTTTCAGTTTCACTCATGACGGATCATGTGATATAATGGTGGATCATACTTTTATGCAGGATTTGCCCATATACGGTGATAGTGAATCATGTGACAAGATTACCCATATGTGGGGATACTGAATCATGTGACGAGATTACCGGTATATGGTGATAGTGAATCATGCAAGATTACCCATATATGGTGATAGTGAATCATGTGACAAGATTACCCATATATGGTGATGGTGAATCATGTGACAAGATTACCCATATATGGTGATGGTGAATCATGTGACAAGATTACCCATATATGGTAATAGTGAATCATGTGACGAGATTACCCATATATGGCGATAGTGAATCATGTGACAAGATTACCCATATATGGTGATAGTGAATCATGCAAGATTACCCATATACAGTACAGTTCTCGCGGAAGCTTTGGCTTCACTTCAGCTTCACCTTCGCTTCAGCATCGCATCATTATGGCATTGTTATGGCTTCAGCATCGCTTCAATGTCGCGACATTAAAAAGTTAGGCGATTATCGCTTCGCTTCATTGTGGCCTCATTATGGCGACAATGTGGCATCAGCATCGCTTCATCAAACAAAGAAGTACTATACTCATTTCCCCCAAACCTTTTGACCAGTCAATTTCCGTTTTATTTATTTATTCTGCTTTTCATAGATCACGGTTACTAGTTTAGTAACCGTGCATAGATGTTGAACAACCGTCAAAAGTGCAAATACTTTTTGTTTTAACTGTCTATAATTATATGCACGCAATCTGACCCTTGA